GGCGCCCCCAGCCCCTCCTGAGCCGGCGATGGGAGGATTTGGGGCTGCCCCACGCCAGGGGTCAGTGTCCCCAGGGTTTTGCCGCGTTAGAGGACCATACGTGTGCGGCCCCGACCTCCTTTGCCTTTCATCGCCCCGCTCCAACCAGCTGCCCCACTCGGGTCCCCTCCCTGGCCTCGGACGGGGGCTGCCGGCCCCGACCTCCTTTGCCTTTCATCGCCCCGCTCCAACCAGCTGCCCCACTCGGGTCCCCTCCCTGGCCTCGGACGGGGGCTGCCACGAGGCCTCGGCAATCCTGGCCGTCCCCGTCCCCGCTCCCTTGGGACTGAAGGTGGCTGGGGACCTCTGTGTCCCCAGACCTGCAGCGGGACGGGGGGCAGCCCCAGCCCTGAGGTTGACCCCTCCTCGGTGCCCAAGCACCCTGCAAATGAAGCCTGATGGGGAGAGGTGGACATGGGGGGGACGGAGACCTGGGGACGGGGGTGACCCGTAGACCCCCGAGGCCTGCAGAGTCCCTGGTGCTCCATGTGCCCAGGCATCCCTCCAGGCGAGCACACGGAGGCAGAAGTTGAACCTGCCAGGTGGAAACCCAGGGGAATAAACCAACCCCAAATTTACGGTGGGATTTACCTCTCCCAGGCACGATGGCGGGTTTGGGTCCCCGGGCTCTGGGCTGGCAGCCCAGGCTTGCACGGAGGTGCCCAGGCAGGGGTGAGGTGCAGGGAAGGGCAGAGGAGGTGAGGCTGCCCCAAGGGGAGAGCCCTCCCCTGCTCCCGCGGGGCAGTTTGGACCATGAGAAGGTGGTGGGCTGCGAGCTGGGGAGCCCCTGCCTGGGGAGGGGGTGAGGGGAGCAGCGGGGGAACAAGCCAGTTCTGCTCTCCCCAAACTGGGTGACTGAGAGCAGCCAGTGCTTGCACACCCCACCCATCCACCCACCCACCCATCCATCCATCTACCCTTCCATATCCATCCATCCATCCATCCATCCATCCATCCATCCATCCATCCATCCATCCATCCATCCATCC